AAAAAAAAAAAAAAAAGCTAGGGATCGATTTTGGGATCTGCACGGGGCGGTTTGATGCTGTCTGTCATGGGTGTGTGATGGGCAGTTTGGGTGTACAGATGTGCAGGTAGATCCTCGACGTATTGAGCTCAACAATTCCGTCGCTAAGCGGGGCGTTTTGTTAAGGGGGTTTTGCCCCGTTTTACGACCTTTCTCGCCACAGTTGTGAATTGAATCACGGCGGTTGTTGAAATGAATCTGGCTTTGCTTATCAGACGGTCGCAAAAGGGGGAATCACGTCGTAAATGTGAACCACAAAGCGCCTGAATTTTGATCACGCGACCGTGGGGTCGTAAGTGTGAAAACCGGTCCTAAGTCACTTTTTTTCAGTACTGTTGTAACTTTGAACGGTCACTAAATGAACAGTTGTAAGTCGAGGATTGCCCGTATTTCCCCCTTTTTGAAAAATTCCAGCTCTTAGGTGTCATCTTCTCTTCCATCCATTTTTGCTATTAAAAGAATATTATTTATTTACAGAACTTACCCCGGTAGTCCTTGGCTTACGACCATCGCTTAGTGAGCGTTAATACGGGTCTTTCAGGGGCTCCTTACAACCTGGGTTTGAAGTTCTTATACACACACACACACAAACGCACACACGCCACATGACCACATTTTGGCTCGCCATTGATGGCTGTTTCAGCTGACCGTGTTTTGTGACATTTCGTGCCAGAAACACACCTTTATTTCCAGTTTCCTGCCAAAAACACCCGTTATGGACAGTGGGTTCGCTTAACCGTCTGCGGCGGTTCACTTAATCACCAAAAAGACTGCAAAAAAACAGGCACGATCCGTTTAGCGACCAGCACGACTCACAGTTATAACCCTGGGCTCAATGACGGTCGTAAGCTGAGGACCCCCTGTATGTTTCCTGGGCTTATAGGACTCGTAGGGGAGATAGGTAGCTGAGAGCAGCCTAATGAAAATGGATTCTGATTACCATTGTGTTCCGGACGTATCACAGCTTGATCGTGAGTCATTGATGAGAATTCCTGTGAATTAAAGTAATCCTTTTTTGATCTTTAAAAAAAAAACACAAGTAAAAACAAAACACTGAATTTTAGGGATATATATATATATATGAATGATGGGGACCCCTGTCTCCCACACAGCCCCTCT